CGCGATCCTCATACACGCAGACACCCACCCTCCCTCTAGAACACTCGATCCTCATAGATGCAGACACCCACCCTCCCTCTAGAACACGCGATCCTTATAGACGCAGACACCCACCCTTCCAGCGACTCCTGCCCCACAAATAACAAATGATATTTTTCTCTAAAAGACAAACAACAATAGTGGCAATAAATGTCAGGGAAGGGGCAACAATGAATTATTAACCAATTAATATTAGTATTAAATTCTCATATTGAACCATATGGAAGGTAGAACAGATATTATCATTCGTTTACATTTGAAGAAATAAAAGCTTGGAGAGATTATATAATTTGCTGCACATTAAAAAGATGATACTACAGATTCCAGGAGAGAGCTCTATAGTTTCCAAGTGCTTTTTCACCAATCCATATAGAATCCATCATGCAAATATTTATTATGCAACTTCTAGGATTCATTCTGGGACCTCGGGAAACTTGAGTGAACAATACCGGCAGAGATTATGCCCTCATGAAACTTATATCCTAGCAGGGGAGGCAGAAAATAGGCAATAAATACAAAATAGGCAAATTATATGGTATAGTAGAAAGAGATGAAGTGCTCTGGAAGAGACAAAGAGAAAAGCAGGATAAGAGGGTCTGGGAGGATCCGAGGGGAAGAGCAGGCTGCAGTTTTCCATCAGGCGGTCAGGGTGGACTTCCTTGAGAGGTAATATTTGAGCAAAAACCTACACGGGTGAAGGAGTCAGCCATCCAAGTATCTGGCAGAACAGTGTTCCAAGGAGAAGAGGGATCCTGTCCACAGGCCCCGGAGAGCACACTCAGGGTTCTCAAGAAAGAGCAAGGAGGTGTGTGTGGATGAAGTGGAGCGAGCGACAAGAGAGAAGCAGGAGCTGAAACCGGAGAGGGAGCGGGGGGCAGGTCCTGGAGGCCTTGTCAGGACTCTGGGACATGGAGAGCCATGGGGGGCAGCGGGTGGTGAAAAAAGACATGTTCTGACTTACCTTTTACAAGGAACACACTGTCTACTCTGCTGAGAACTGACTGGGGAGGCGGACGAGGTAAACTAAGGACACAAGTGTAAAAGACTAGGCAGTAATCTAGGCAAGAGATGGTGGTGGTTTAGATGATGACGGGAGCAATGCAGATGGTGAGAAGTGATGCTTTTCTGGACGGCATATTCTGAAGGCAGAGCCAACAGAATTTGCTAACACACCGGCTACTGGGTCTAAGACTGAAGAGTCAAGGATGACTCCAAGGTTTCTGAGCTGAGCAGCCAGAGGATGGAGTTTCCATCAGCTGAGATGTAGAGGCTGTGGCTGCAGCAGACTTTGGAGGAAATAAAAGAAGTTCAGTTTTGGACATGTCAGTTGGAGAAGTCAAGTGGGCTGTTAGACATACAAGTCAGAGTTCAGGACAGAAGAGTGGCCCAAATCCAAATTTGAGGATTTTTAAGTATATAAATAGTATTTAAAACCATGTGATTCACAATTCTCAAACTGAGAAAAATCCATCATAAAAGTCACCCTCATCACTGATGAAGATAAAGTCTAAAGAAATGCAGTGCCATGTCCAAGGTCAGATACACATAACACAATGCTAACAGAGCTGGTACTCTTTAGCCCTGAATTTCCTTGAGGACACTGCACTGCGGTCTAGCATAATAAATAACGGACTGCTAAGTAAAAGGAGTTCAACTTCCAGAAGATTCCCCAAATACTGTGCATAAAATATGGAACCATTTTCTCCCCCTTTCTTAAAAAGCATTATCTAAAGACATTAAATATATAGCACACTGTAGGCACTCCAAAAATGTTTGTTTCAGCAATGAACAAATTTGCCATTCAATCAATAGCCCAACCTTATATGATACTAAGCACCCACTTGTCAAAGTGGTTACATTTAAATATTTTTACTTACCTGATATTTAAGCCAATGAAGTTTGTCCATGTGAAAATATAATCTCCACCAAAGACCATTCCAATATAAGTTATCAATATATTCTAAAGAGAAAAATGGTCAGACACTGTTACATAGCTTTAACTGAGCTTTTTCAATATTGATATAAACTCATCCACACTATGACCCAAATACCTACCTGTAAAATACAAAAACAAACAGACAACAACAAAAACCCGCCAATCCTAAAATAAGTGTAGTATGAGCAAGAACACTAATAAGGAGACAGTGACATCACCTCTTCCCAATCTCTCTCTCCAGAAGCAGAACGCTTTCACAATACTGAAGAATACAAGACCACCCAACTCTCCCTGCCCAAAGGGAGGGCTGACACTGTGACTCTCCCTGCCCCAGGGGAGGGGCTGACACTGTGACTCTCCCCACCCCGGGCGGGGTAGGGGCTGACACTGTGACTCTCCCTGCCCCGGGCGGGCGGGGTAGGGGCTGACACTGTGACTCTCCCTGCCCTGAGGGAGGGGCTGACACTGTGACTCTCCCTGCCCCGGGCGGGGTAGGGGCTGACACTGTGACTCTCCCCGCCCCGAGGGAGGGGCTGACACTGTG